ATATCTGAACGAAACCTTGGCAAGAGTTTACACACGGGTCGTGAGGTCTACACAGCTTTACACACAGCTTGTGTAAGGGATATGGCAGGATTCCACAGAATGTTCATACAGGAGCAGGTACCTGCGGACCGCATAAGAGTTGCAATATGCATTATGACAGCTTGACCCCTTTGGCTTCAACTATTCTGGGTTGCTGTTAAGGAACTTAAATTAAGTTACCATAATGGGTATATATAGTAGATAATAGGGTTTCCCCAATATAGTAACTTAATTTAAGTTCCTTAACAGCAACCCAACTATTGTGTTCATTCAATGTTCTCACTCCTGGTTGTCAGTTGGCTTGCTGTTGTCATTGTTGCCGCACATGCAGAGACACCAACGTAGACGTGGTCACAAGGCGCTACCCACCCTCGGCGTGGACAACACTTCCCCAGGGTATGGGGTTTAGCTTGGAGTTTAAGAGCTTAAAGTAAGCCATTCTATTCAAGCATTTGTGAGCTTTTGGACTTCAAAGCAGCGCGACAATGCCAAACACGAAGTATGAGTTTCCATCCAGTAGTCTATTTTTTTTTCCCGTGTCTTCTCGCTTTTGACTCCCTTATTCTTAAACTACACCCCATATACACATCCCTTAAGCCTGTAAATCCTGCACCCCGTTAACCCTAAATCCTAAAACATGACTCAGCATGTCGCAGCCAGATGTTGGCTCCCCAGTGCTTTTCGCCGTGCAAGATATGAGGCTTTCATAAAATTGTTCGGGCACGCAAGGGACCCCTAGAATGTATGGGGATTATTGCAGAGCATGGGTCCCATTTAAGGGTTGTGGAAATTTCTTAACAAACCTTGAAAATCTCTCCACTTACACATCACATTCAAAGCATCGCGCACGCCTGTGCGCTGTCCAAAGCAGGGCCGGCTTTCAAAAGTGATTCGAGCATGCCCTCTCCGCAAAGTTGCAAAGTATTCAGCTGTGGTTCTCGCTCCCCCGCTTTTCAATCTTCAGGGGTTCCGTGTTTGCATGGGTGTCTACATTCTGTCTCCTTGAGTCCTGGAAGGGAAGTACCATTGTCGTTCTGGTAGTAATGCTGACTGCGAAGTTTCTCCAAGCTAGTGCCCCCTTCATCAGTCGCCCGGATCAGGAACCTTTGTTTTGTGGGGTAGACATATAAACCTTGTATCGTCCTCCTATCTCTGCCAACTGGTGACCCACAAGTTGACCCCAAACACCTGAAAACCTGTACCGTAAGCCTCATCCAGTACAACCCCTGCGCCGGAATGGCCTAATGCGCAAACCCTGAGCCCTAAACCTTGAAAACCCCAAACAATGTATCTCCCTGTACATACCCTACGTACCTTTAAAGGGACACTCAGCATCCCAAATCGGCTGGGCAAATGACAGCTTTCGGAGGTGCAGCGTTGCAGAGACGGACGGTTCCTTTACGGTTTGAGATTCTTACAGAGCAGGATTTAGGGCGTAGGGTGTAGTGTGCAAGATTTCAAGCTTTAGGCTGCAGGGGTGCTTCCGGCTTGGGGTTTGGGTTGGGGGAGGGGTTTGAGTTGGGGGGGGAGGAACCAGGCAACGTAGTGGCCCACAAAACTCTGGGGAGATGATTCTTACGGAGTCACTATGCAACGCAGGGGATCTGAGTAGAAGAGTGTTCAGACGATAGCTCCAGCAAAGGCAAGCAGTGCAGCGCGGTTGCGGGGTAGCTCGACACATGCCATCAGGGCAGCATGTAATGCAGCAGGCGTGCCTGAGCTGTAGCCTTCTCACTGGCCAGCAAGCGCAGTCGTGCATGAGCTGCCTGCAACATTTGGGCCGGACTGCGCGCACTCATGGATCTAGGAGAGTCTCTCAAAGATCACTGCTACAGGTCTATAGGTCCAAGACAGAGGATCCGTTGTTGGGGCGGTTGACACTTGAGAGCAGATCGAAATCATCCGAATGTTCCAAACATGCCATAACAGAGCCTAAGGTCCTGGGAACGACAACCCATAATAGTAATAATAGTAATAATAGTATTAATAATAGTAACAATAGTAGTATTAGTAATAGTATTAATAATAGTAACAAAAGTAGTAATAATATTAATTGGTAAAATAATGCACAAACCATCCGGAAGACCAGACACAGCGATATACCATAATCCCTATGATGCGGACCTCAAAACACGACCCCAACTTCTAGGAAACCCTATCCCTATCTAACCCATATATCACCCTTCAAAAAAAAACCACTAACTTACACAGGAGCCAGCGAGCCTTCATCAATCCATCCGCAGTGGACGGATGAACGAATCCGGTCAGCTGCCTTTCTCTGTCGCCTGTTAGCCACTTTGGCAGCCAGACCTCTGTAGATGCGCGCCTAGAATTATTCAGGGATGTACAAGGATATCTAGGGAATATATATATACATATATATATATATGTATATATATATATAGATATGGGAGGTATAGGGCTTGTACAGGGATATGTAGGGGGCTTTGTACGGATGTCTAGAGATTATGTGGGGACATCACCCCGCAACAATGGAGAATGAAATGGAGAAGCACATGGAACATGAAAAGGAGGTTTAGAGTTTAGGGCCAAATTTCCCGGCTGTCAATATGAAATCAAGGGATCCTTGATTAGGGGTTTAGGGTTTAGGGCTTAGGATTTAGTGTTTAGGGCTTAGTCCCTGTAGGACTTAGGACCTAGGGTTTAGGGTTTAGGTTTTGGGGTTGTCTCTTATAGGTTCCCCGGGTTTAGCGTCAGTAGCTGGCCTCAATTACCTCCGGATGAGGGGTCGCCTTACTGTCTTCTTTGTTCGCTCAGAGGGCCACAAAAAGGAAGACTTAACTTTTTGGAAGCCCTGATAATTGCCATGTGTCCATGGCAGCAAAAAGATGTGGAAGGAATGACTAAGGGAACCGTGATGTGAAAGTTCATTTCGCAAAGCCGGAAGTAAGGCGTGAGAGAAGGGAATTCCATAACAACCTCCCCCTTCAG